AAAAAAAAAAAAAGAGGAGAATCTTTATAATTAATTTTCAAAATTATAGTATATCATGGGTGTAGTAACAAATACGCGTATATTAATCTTGAATTTTTGAATCATTGGTGTATTATTATACGTATCTATATAACGCGACAATTATACGAACAGTAACTATACTCGACAGCTCTGAATTACATGTATGTAATACATAGAGAATAATTATCACCTTGGGGCATTACGTTTAAACGAAGGCTGTTAAAATTACAATACAAAGAAACAAAGCTCGCTGTTGAAGTGACAATATCGTATAGCTCCCAGCTGATATTTTCTCATTTTTAGATGCGACAATGCGATAAACGGTGTAAATGATAGTGCACATTACACGAAGGACTCATGGGGGTAGGCCAAACCGGAAATTATACTTGTTGCTAGCGGACAGCGGCGATATTTGATCTTGGTATTTAATGTTATTATTCGATGATACATGCCTTTGTTTGACGATGTATTGTTACCTGGTGGTAACAATAGTTAAATGCAAATTCACAAAGAGAGTCAGACTGATAGAATATTGTTATTATTAAGATATTATTAGATAGGGTTTGATAATATTATGAAGTATAAACACATAACGATAATTCTTCATCAGTATAGATTGAGAAGTTTGTTCTTAAGTAAAAGTGTCAATTTTATCAGGACAGTTCGCTGAAAAACATTAGAAGATAGGCTTCCATCGTCTTTTTTAAATTAATTAATAAATCTTAGTGGATTTAAGAGTGTGTACTTCGTTGAAACTATAGAATATAATTGTCGCGACAAGCATGGATTCGTTCTTGATACCTGTGAAAATACCTCATGAAATTTTACAAAAAAAGTCTCACACCTTTAGCGACATAAAATTCGTCAAAGTTCTAAAGTATATTGTCACAAGAAGATACATGTTCTTTTTTTTTTTTTAACAAGTGTTGATTCATTCTTAACTGAATTAAAATGAATTGAGATAGTAAACGATTAATAATTAATAATAGATTAATGAATTTTGCGAAGAACGTGGAAGCTACGTTTTTTGTGAGATTCTCAGATTAAAAAAAAAAATTCTCTCCGTTAAAAAAAGCGTGAGATCTGTAAAATGAGAAAATTGCCACATAATTTTCATTACAGTTTGAAGTGCCTCCAGGCACGGAGGTGTAGTTTCTTTTTGCGAGTGATCGCGATTAAAATCAGTTATAATCACAATCGTTACTGCCTTACGATCCGCGTTAGTCTTACTTGTGATTTTTGCCGTTACACGAGAGGAAAAAAAGCCACGAGACGAATTGAGATAGTTGATGGCGATTGAACCTCGACGTTATTCCACTCAACTTCTTCCTCGACTATTTCTTTTTCATATGCTTGAAACAACTAAACTGCGTTTACTACCCCGACTGTTTACGAACTAACGATGTTGGTTGAAAATTAAATTAAAAAGTGTCATAAATTTTATCAACGATTGTCCGTACTACGATCCCATCCTCGAGAAAGTAATCTTTGCCCATTGAATTAGGATCACTTTTAATTTTCAACATTTTACGTGCATTTAGTAAAATTAAACTACATTAATTTGTATTATCTTACAAATATATAAAATGTTTAATTTTATTTTGTATTTTCAAGTTACAAATGAAGTTGAAAATTCTAGTTTAAAACTTCAATTTTTATAATAATATTTCAATGTCCAATGATATCAGGAATTAATATCAAACTTTATTGAGTGTTAGAAATATATGCCTACATCTTTCGCAATAAATATTCACAATTAATAATGAATAATCATAATAAACAATACGTATGTGGATATAATAATTATGAAAAGGAACCTTTAACTTAATATTTATTTAATATATAATACTTTTGATACTTTTATCAAATCGACGCATTTACCATAATTATTAAATGTGATTAAATTTCGTATCTTTTAATTTCACACAAGAACGTGCAAAACGTGGATAATTTTGGGTTAGCTCTGATTCAACGGGCCACGGGTTGTGGAAAGAATCCAAGACAGACGCGATTACGTGGAACATTATGTTTCGATGCTCCCTACGTTCGTCTTCAATTCCTCTCTCTCGCGGGGGAATATCAACAGCTGGCGATAACTTAGCAACAGCTTATCGCCGGCCATTACCGTCGCCTCTGCAAATATTTGCCAACGTTCAACAACCCGCCCATTCTAGCCCGCGTGCCCTCTGCTGCACGAAGAAGAAGCCCGAGCGGGTGTTCGATCGCGGGATGAAGTGTTGCTTTCGTGAATGAAGCAGTTTACGCTGGACACGATATCGCTTACAGCGACAATTTAGCGCCGCTAGTTAGAATTATGCGCGAAACCGAATACTCGCGCTCATATTACGCGATCGCGCGATTTATAGTCTGGCACGCATGGTGGATCCAACCATCGTCTCTTCCTCCTTTTCCTCGCATCGTGTCACGTCGTGTCGTGTCGCGTCGATCCATCGGTCGCGAATTAAATTTCCCGGCAACACGAGACGAGCGCTCGCCAACGCTCCAAAGTCGTAATTTCACCTTCGTATCTTTCTGCTCTATCGCGGACGCTAGACTCTCACGAACTCTAACTGCACTGGAGAGTATCTTTCTTTTTTCTTCTTCTTTTTTCCCCTCTCTCGTCGTCGTTGCGTGTTTCGGTCGGATTCTGCGGTTTCGTGAAATTCAGAGCGTTCGCGGACTTCAATGCGGATTTTCTCTGCGAACGTGATTAAAGAGGTGGAAGCTCAGTGAAAATTCGTTTCTTCTATTACATTGCGATAAATACTCGTTTCTACATATTTTATATATTTTAGAGATGTTACAATGTTGTAGTGTCACGTGATGTCTCAATATCCATGACCGATAACATTATTGTAGCGTTACATGACCAACGAAAAATAAATTGTAATGAATATTCACTTACTTAAATATTTGATAATTTTCTTAGTTTTCATAGATTTATTATATTAACTGCCGACAGCAAACATCAGATTTCGTAAATTTTTAATAGAATTCGTCAACCGCTGACGAAAATTACCATCCAAGTTAATCGTTATTAATGTTACTACGTAATTAAATAAAATCAACTGACAACTTACAGTCCGAGGAATCTATTCGACATAAGGAATAATATTTCTTGAAACTCGGAAAGGTAGTAGCATGGTTAGTTGGAGTTGATAGAAAAATGGTATGCCATTTCAGCGACAATTGAAGGATTAAAAGTAACATCAATCTGGTGAAAAGAATTATTCCGTATTTTAAAATCCTTTACTAATATCCCTTATTACGGCAATTCTCATGAATTCTAACTGGACTTGAGATGTCTGTCGATCATCTCACGTAGAATCAACGGCGATGGAGTGTTTTTCTGTCATTGGTTGGTCGTGGGATCGGAAACGGCTCGCGAGTCGTGTTACCGATTATGAAACGTGGGCGGATCACCACTTTGTCCCCGTGCCGCTTTGAAGCTTCGTCTTCGTTGAAGCAACTTCCTCTTCGCTGTTTGCGTCTTTGAAGCATCTCAAAACAGTAATACTCCAGCAAGTATGAAGTAACATACTCTGCGAAACATCTTCAACATTTCGTGTCGGTTTTTATTTTATTATATTCAGGATCGTTGGGATTGGTTCTACAACCAATGATCCGAAATTTCCTATTCTACAAATTGGCTTAAAGAAAGACATCAACTCAATTTTCATTCCCATTATATAGAATATAGAGTTACATTTATGTTTATTTAAAAAGAAATTTACAAATATGTAAAGTGTCTTAACTAGACTGCGCATTTCAAGAAATGGAAGACTTAAATAGATATTTGTCAGATAGAAATACTAAACAAATTAAATGTTAATTTTGATATTAAGTAAAATTATATTTATTATGAATTGAATATTACAAATTAAACTATAAAAGTTACTATAACCTAAAAATAAGAATTGCTAAAAAAACTGTGAACGATAAATTATGTTGCAATAAAATATTACAAATATAATATTTTACATATTTTAACACATTTTCGCATATCGTGTGAATTCTATATATTTTTACATGTCCCAGTTTTCTACAAATATAGTATAAAAATCCGTAGTTTATTTATAATTTTATCCGCTAGCGTGGTTTCAATAAAAGCAACAAGCCTTAAAGCCATTAAGCAACCGAAACACGAAGAAACCTAGAGAACCAATTCGACAACAAACAAACTCGTAGATTTTCTCAAAAAAGAAAAAAAAAAGCTTCTCGTTGTTGCTTCAATGTGCACGCGTGCATGTTGCAGCTCAGATCAGCTGGCAATTAAAACACGTGACAACCTTGAACGCGAGGAACGTCTTTCCCAGAGTTGCGCGTCGGATAATTTTATTGAGCTGTTAGTTTGACGTTTCCCTCGGGAATAGTGGCATGTTTAGTGGCGCGTACACGCGAGCCAGCCGAGTTTTAGTCTTAGAGTTCGTGGACAGTCTCGTGTTAATGACACACGAGGGACAGCTTGTATGAATTAATTAGTCGGATGCGTCGATTGATCGATTGACCATCGCGGTCAGGATTTCCTCTTTAGATAGATCTTGTGAAAAAAAAAAAAAAAAGAAGAAAAGAAAAACGCGTTTGCGTGCGACTTGACGAGATTACAAACTCGTCGAGATTATCTAGGTTTCCTGACGCGCATAAAAGCGAAGATGCGAATTTATTAGGACGAGGAAGAAGCTTTTATAATAATTTGGACGGAAATTAATTCGCGGAACTATAGACGTATAATGAATATTGTTGTATAAAATATTAATATTCTACAGGGTGGGTTTTCTGACAAATAATTACTTTTAAATAGTTTTTAATATAAAAAATTGTATCATGCAGTATATAATAGAATTTTGAATTTTCTAAATGTAATGTGCAGAGAGAATACTGAACGCAGAGTAAAAGTAAATCTTTTTGAAAAAGTTGTTTCAAGAGATATATTTTAGAAATTACTGACACTACATATAGCTTAATGGTTTTAGCCATAAAACTCAGCTTGGCAAAAGATCTTTTTAATTTTAAAAGATCAGAAATTAATTATCGCGTTACCAATTTATTTGAAATACTTTTTCATATAAGAGTTAATATAAAAGGGTAGAATTATATATTATATATCATGTACATATTATGTATTATATTACATATCATTATATATCATATATTATTGATTAATATTGCAATATAATATCATATGTTATTAATATTATTCAATTTGTCGCATATTATGAGTATTACTAATTTATGTCAATTCCAATTTTCTAACTTTGCCAATGTACATTAATTCTTGTGCTTTTATGGATGTTAAACAAACGTTTCATTGGAATAAATAAATCGAAGTAAATACTTCGATTTCATAAAATTGAAGAGTCTAGATGAAAGACAGTAATGGCGAATATTATACAATAGTGATGAAAATAATTTCAAAGGATACTTTATATTTACCTTTTTATATTTTATAAATTGAGAAATAGAATTTGATGACATTGATGGACTGAATTAATGAACGTAGTTTGAAAATTGATTTAATTGAAAAAAAGAAAAAGAAATGAAGGACCTGAAAGAACTATGCCACGAGAGAATTTAACATTCAACGACAACGTCGTCCTATTACCGTAAACCTGGCACAGTGACTCTACTTTCTCTTGTTCTACAAGATGAAGACGCGTATTAACCAATTTGTAGTCGAATAGAATAACACGCACGCAAAAAAAAAAAAAAAGAAGAAAAGAAGTAGTTTACTAACCAAAAAACGCGTAACTACCGTTGGACTTCTCTAGAACGAGGTGCGGGCGTATGAGAAACATTGTGCAAACCAGTTGACTCGAATGGAAACACGTTGTAGCTTACTTCATGAATGAAAGATTCGATCGATTACACATTTCTGTTTGTAAAAACTTCAGATTAACTCACTGAGATAGAATTCCACGGATTTCTCATCATGATGTATTCTATAATTTTACGAGGCTTTAAGAAATTGAAGTATTTATTAATATTATGATCAATTATTATTCTGATTTTCAACGGATTAATTCGTAAGTTCTAGTCTGAAAAATTCAATTCAAGAACCGAATTTATTAGCAAATACTTTTATTGCATATTTTCGTTGTTATTTTATTTTGTGTAAATTTATGCTTCCAATTAAATACATGTACAAGTGATTTAATAGAAAATTTCGAACTTCTTAAACTTTTAACATCTTGATATTTTTAAACCTGTGGATCTCAACGTGAGGCCCACGCTCCCGAGAGAAAATTCGAGAATGAGCTATAAACAGTGAATGTTCTGCATTTCTTTAAATGAAAATTTAACTAGTTTTTTTTTCTTTCAAAGATGTCGTTGGAAGCTTGTTTAGACCAAGTTAATAGTCTTTCAGGCTTCCTCCATGTCAAAAATTCACTTTTTGGATAATAAGAATTATATGTTATTAGGATTTTAAAAAGGTTAGGTGGGGCATAGCTAAAAAAGGCTGGGAACCATTGTTTTAAATTTTAACTAACTTAATAATAAAAAAAAAGTAAATAAAATAAAATACGTA